AAATCTATCATAGCGAGTCTGTTAACTCAAATTATTATGAATGTATTCCTATAAAACTTTTTGAACTTGATATTTATGTTATTTTCTAGAGAATGTACTAAAATATTTCGTACTGTATGAATACTTTTTGAGTTATAGCTTGTTAATTAAATAATGGTCTCATAAAAAATGTAACATTTCTTATAATGTTTACTCTTTCAGCTCTAAAATTTTCAAATTTTAATGAAAAATTAAAATTTTAGTACTTTTTTAGATAAATGCACCTACTTTGTTTTAGTAATACTTTTACTAATATATGTTTATTACTTTTATCTCTAACTGCTTTGAAGTTATTTCAAAATATTGCTTACTTTAAATTCAGGTAATTTATTTTAAATGTTGATAGTTAAATAGTAATATTTATTGGTATTGAGTCCTAAAAGAGCATTTATAATGTTTAGTATGCTATTTTGTTAAAAAGTACTCCGAATGCGTTCGGATACCTTAAATCTTTAACAAAAATATAGATTACATACTTGAACAAAAGCTATACGTTTTTAAAACTTTGTTAAGACAATTAGACCGATTTTTTTATTCCAATACCGAAGGAACGTTTTGTAATAACTTATCATTATTCCTTTAAAATACGTAATTTAAAATGATTTTGCAATTTATTTCTTATATCTGTCAATATTTACGATTCCTTATCCATGGATAACAAAAAAAGATTAGTTTACTCTAAGTAGATTTTGTTTTTCGAGACATATTGGGAATGCTCATTTTCCATATACTTCTGTCCATCATATTTGTTGATGAAAATTGATGGATTGAAAATTGGTTGATTGGAAAAATTCATTCAACATATTTGGCTCCGCTCTCACTAAATTATTTATTTATTACTGATTCAAAAATATGTTAATATCTGTTTTTGTTGGGGGTGAAGCGAGTGAGCTTCTTCTGGCGTAAAGGTATCTGTTTGATGCACTCACGTGTTTTTCCCGCTTCCTCCCATACATTCCTTCTACGGGGAACACACCTTGATCTATATACTGTGTGCGATAATTTTCACTTTTGTTGTGTGCTAATTTCTCTATCATTTTACCATTTATTTGTTTGTCTTTAATAAATTGTGCTGTCTAGAAAGGTATGAAGAACTTATTTTACAAAAAGAACAACAGTTTTAATATGGAATACGTATGTAGGATGAATGAAAAAAGGCTACAAATAATGATATCACATATTTCATTAATTCTTCTAGAGTGACACACCTCTAAATTTGTACTATTTACAAAATGTTTATTAATAATTAATATATTTGGAAAAGATACATCCCAGAAATTTAGCAACACTTATTTTATTAGTTATTTTTATTTAGAATTATATATAGCTATTTATATTGAAATGTGTTTACAGCATGTACGTTTAATGTGAAATTCGAGAGTTTTATAATCTACCTACAGGAGCTTTAAAAACCTTTGCAAAAAATTAAGGAGCTAAGGATTTACACAGAAAACGATAATTTACTCAATTAAGGAAAGTTTATTATCAAATGAATAATTTTCGCATACAAGAGGTACCTTGCTTTAGAAGAGGATTAAACGCTAGAAGGTTAAGCAATACATTACAGAATTACCTGTTTAAATTTAATTTTTTACGCTATATCAGCGTTTCTCAAACTGTGGGGCACGACCCCTAGGTAGACGTGATAACCAAACGAGGGGAGCGAGATCATATCGAAAAGTCGAAAATAAAGCATTATTTCAAAATATTATAAATTTACTGGAAAAAAAATACATTCTGACATAATAAAAAATAAAGAATACGCATTCAGACTGATATATTATATTTATAAATGTATCAGTACTGCACACTGTATTTGATAATTAACTAAACAATACCAAGTTAAAAACAAGTTTAACAATTACCATTGACCTTTTAGGTTTATCTTAAATGGAATTATATAAAAATTTAATACTTTTCTTAAAATTTGTATGGTTTGTAATTAAATTCGTACTGCAGATTTTCGTCAAAGTATGTTATTATTAAATTCACTACTTTGGTATTGTTTAGATAGGGAAAGGAGGCGCAAAGAAAATTATGACTGAAAATTGGGTCACAAGTATTGAATGTTTGAGAAGCATTGCGCTATATTGATACATTGATACAGGGTTGTTGAAATTAAAATAAAGCATTAGTAAAATAAATTAATTTAAGAAAAATACTTCGTGTATGGTGGGAGGGGTGTACTTTTTATTTCCGATATGTTTTTGTAAAAATCAGTATCTTTCACTTTTAAATAAAGTATTTTCCAAAATTGTTTATCACTTATTCCTTTACAATAATTGAGTTAAATATTGAGACTTAGGTTGAAATATTTCATATAAGTTAAACTTTAAATCATCAATTTAAATTTTGGCTTCACCCTTTACTTTTTTTACCATTAATGCAAGGTAAGTGAATTGAACCTGTTAACATAGTTTAATCATTCCTTCTTTATTTTTGAAATAAAGTGCTTCAATTTTTATTAATTTTACAATTTGTATGCTTCTTTTATTTTAAGTAGTCGAAATTTTACTTAGTATTAGAAATACTTAATTTTGCTCAATAAATAAATGATTAATCAAAGATGAAATGCATTTCAAAGGGATTTTATTTTCAAATTATTAATATATTGCTAAAATTGTATCAAAAACCAAGCTGTAATGGCGGATACTCTGCACGGGACATATTTATAGCTAGTATATGAAACAAAACCAATTTAAACTCGGTTTTAGGTAAATTAATTATTGAAAAATAAAGAAAAATAATATAATAAAGAAGAAGAAAGAAGAGAGAGCTTTCTAAATTAATATTTTTTTAAGTCAAATTAGTTTACATAGGTGTAACAAAACGGCAAAGAGCACAGTTCTACCTGTTCTACATCAGCATTAAAAGTCAGGGTTTTATTTGTTGCTGTTGTTTTTTGTTTGCTTAAAAAATGCAAACTTTACAACTGTGTTTCCTTAGAATATGTCCTACCCTGATATAAATTTCCAAAATAATCGTTTTCTGATCTCCCAACTTTGGTGGAAATTTCCTCAAAGCTATTCACTGAGGCGTCTAGCTCACACTTGACAACCTTAACGATGGACGTTGAGAACTTGTCGTTTGAAAGACATTCCTCAACGCAGTCTCGATGCTCGAGTTATACTTCGAGGTCTTTTATTATCCCTCACTTACTGTGACATCGTCTCGCCACAATAAGGGCTGATGTCGCTGTCAAGCCAGGGCGTCACCACAAGAGGGCGGAAAGTGAAAAATTTGCCCTTAACTATTGGGTTAGCTTGAAAATGGATGGGCTCTGCCACGTCAAGGGGAGTTGACGGGAGTCACATTCTTGGATACGGGCGTTGTTTCTAGTAACAGAAATCGTAGTGGCACACAAGGGAGCAGTCGATCAACATATACACAGTAAATTAAAAAATTAATAAAGAATTTATTGAAGACAAATAAAGCTAGACAATAAATTAAGATTGTTACGTCTCTGAATCTCCATCATTCAATAGATTCTCAGTCTAATGAATGGGTTTATGCATGCCGATGATAAAAGCAAAAGAATTATATTGTCTTTGATATATTTTCTGGTACCATTAAAAATGCTTTCAATCGAGGGCAGTTAATTCTGCAATGGTCTTGTCACGAAATACTTAAGTAATTTTGCTCGTTAATAAATTTTATAGCGTTATTGTAGGCTTATTCGTATAATTAAATAGGTATCGAAATTTTACATGAAGAAAAAGTTTAATTAATTATTACTTTCATTTTGATCATTCTAAAGGCATCGCGATTCTTCAAGTTTACTTTAAATTACATTTTTATCTAAGACCTAGTGCTTGAATGTAGTACTTTAATTGGTATATACTTTATCAATTTTATGGAGTATAGAGATAGAATATATAACGGAGAAGTGTTTAAGAAACTGGTTTAATTGTTAGCATGCATTCCTTCCTTTTAAATATTACTTCATGGATATTGACTGTAAAATTGATTTTTTATAAATACTGTTTGGTGCACATATTTCTAATACCAATGTAATACAAATTTCTGATGTACCACTTGATTAAAATGTATAATTATTTGCATGTATATTTTTAAATCTGTCCTAAACAAATCTGTTTTCAAATCCATATTTTCAGCTCTTGAATCCTTTTCAAATACTAAATTCTTTATTTACGTCATTTACTTTTGCTTTAAATTAGAGTCAAGGGTATAAGGTAAAAATAAAAAAAGAAGAAAAAAAAAACGTTAAAAAAACTGATATGAAAGATTAGTTAACTTTTCTTTCTTCTTTTTTTCTGTAAATTATTTACCCAGGATAATTATCTTCTTTTGTTTAGATTTGAAAAACAAATATTTCAGGTATTTTTATCGTGATATCAATTAATTCGAGTTCCTTAGAAATTATTATCTTCCAAATTTAGAGTACCTTGAATGTTTAAAGAGAAAAATGGTCTTTATTTCATATTTCTATTAAATTTTAATTATTTATAAATAAATATTTATAATTTTCTTTTAAGTCTGTATATATATACAGTGTTAACTATTTATTTTCTTTATACAAACAACTTCTTTTTACGAACTTTTGTTACAAAAATATATCTCTTTGTCTATTTAATAAATCTTTATGAAAAAGTCTAAAACCTTAATCCCATGACTTTGTATCGTTTATGAAAGAGCAGATATTTATATAACAAGTAATATGTAAAAAAAACCAATCAATTCCTACTTAAGTGAACAAATAAAATTTATTCTATTTACTTTTTATTAAATTGTTACAATTAATATAAATATGTAAATATATATGACACATAATCACAATATTAAGTGACAAAATAAAAAGCGACTTCCCTTGCTATTTTCTATTTTCCATATATGGTATTGGAATATCTTTTCGCGTTTGTTACTATTTATTCATCAATGTAATTTAATTATTCAAAAAAATAGTATAGTGAAAAAGAAATCACATTCACAGAAATTACGCCACCACTAGGTGAGTTTCAAACCCACGACCTTTGGATTAAAACCCCAACGCACTATCCATTGTGCTACAGGAACACAGCGAGTGGTTATCATTTCTATATATGCTTTTGGACTTTTATTTTTGTTTGTTACTATTTATTCATTTTTTTAATTTACATAAATAATTAATTTTTGAAAAAAGTGTATTAACATCAAGTGCCATCCACTACAAGTTTAAGAAAATACATTTGAACTTGAAAAGATGAATAGAAAAAAATATTTTATTAATGATTGGAAATTTGAGAAAGATATATATATATATATATACTCATGTCCATAAATTAAGGATAATTCAGAATCACACAGAAATTGAACTCTAAAATAAAAATTTCACCTGTAGAATTATCACATACATCTTGAAGAAGAATATGCAAATTACAGGAAACCACCAGATGGCGCGGATAGTACGTCACAATGACGAGAGTGTAACAGAGGGGTATATAAGGAATGGTGCTTTAAAACACTTTCAGTGCAATAACCGCATAGTTATGGCACAAAGGAAGCATTTGGATGATTTTTACATGGTAGAATTATCGGACGACTGGAATGTAAACGTACCCAGCTGGAAGTATCCGAGGAACTTGGAATCTTCCAGAGTTTCATCACCAGGCTTTGGCAATGATTCCAAGATGATGGTAATGTGAGTAGATGTTACAGCACAGGTCGCCCCCGAGTTACAACTCCGAATGAGGACCAGTATTTGGCAGATACTGCCAAAAGAAACAGATGGAGATCAGCATCAGACCTGTCGTCAGCTCTCTTCAGCTACCGGTACGACAGTTTCAAGGCAGACCGTGTACAGACGCTTAGGGCATCTTGGTCTATATGCTCGTAGGCCTGTCAGATGTGTTCCCCTTACCACAACTCACTGTCGCCTGCCATTAACCTGGAGTAGAGAGTATGTATTGTGGACACCGCAACAGTGGTCTTGTGTAATGTTTTCCGACGAGTCTAGGTTTAGTTTGCAGTCTGATTCTTGCCGGACTTTCATATGGGGAGTGCCAGGTACCCGTTACCACCAAGAGAACACCATTGAACGACACAGTTACGTCGGTGCAGGATGGCTCGTCTGGGGAGGAATTATTCTTGGATCCAGAACTGACCTGCATGTTCAGAGTGTAGCGATGACAGGCCACATCTATCGGGATGTCATTCTGGAACAACATGTACGTTTGTTTCGGGGTGCCATGGGTGCTGAATTTCTGTTTATGGATGACAACGCCCGTCCTTACCGTGCAAACATTGTAGTCGAATGCCTTCAATCGGAGGATATCACCCGTATGGATTGGCCAGCATGCTCACCGGACTTGAATCCAATAGAGCATGTGTGGGACATGCTTGGCCGACGAATTGCAGCCAGTCAACCCCCTCTCACCTGTCTACCGGAACTTCGGAGGGCATTGATTGATGAGTGGTGTAATATTTCCCAAGATCAGATTGATAATTTGATACTCAGCATGCGTAGGCGTTGTAAGGCCTGTATTGCATCGTCCGGGAGACATACTCCGTATTAACCATCATACTAACCATGTTATACTGTTTTTTGTAAATAAGTTCTGTTTTGAAATTTACTCCAGGGAGTAAAAATCGCAATTTTTATTAATTATGTCAAACATATAGCATCTTTTTTTTCTCTTTACCTTTTGTTTAATAAATAGACTTTACAAATAAGTCAAATTTGTTTTGCTTTTTTCTCTTCCTTTGCCTGAATTTCATTATCCTTAATTTATGGGCCTGAGTGTATATATATATATATAAGGCGAGACTGAACTAATAGTAGGAATTGAATAAAGCAATTTCCGCTTTGGAAAAACAAAATCCATTCCATTTTTGATGAAGAACAGTCTGGAGGCTAGGGACCTCTCACATCTGTTCCCCTTCGACCAACCTCACGAGTGGACCTTTGGGGCTCGAAAACTTATTTACGGTACCCTCATGCTTCGAAGGCAATATACATTTTTAAGAATCCAAGCCTTCTCCGAGATTTGAACCCAGATCCCCCCCCCGCAAAAATAGATTAGCATCACTAGCCACTATACCTGACGGGTGGCTGAGTTTTCTATTCATTACCTTTATGTTACTGGAGTCTAAAATAATTAGTATTTTTTTTTTACTTATCAGACATTTAAGACTTTATTTAAAATAGCTGTACCTGTGCTATTAAAAATAATATATATTTTTTGTCTAAAAGTTTAAATTTAAACTGAAATAGACTCAAAATAAGCCATTTTAAAACATAATAAACGTTACGAGTAAATGAACTAAACTGGCCTCGGATGGTATAATATGAGGAAAAAGATGATTGTGAAGCCTGTGCAACTAAGCCCAAAATTACGAAAACTGACAGAAACATCCTCTTTACTAAAATATATGTAATTATATCAATTTTAATTTTCCATAGAAATTCAAATTCTATAAAATTAAACTGTAACCTTCCTGTTGGTGATACATTATAGTAATAGTATTAATTTGTATAGAAATGAAAGAAACACTGAAAAAAATAAGGAACTGATGCTATATTTGTAAGATATACTAAAAACGAATACAAATCTATTAAATCTGGTCGAGACTACTATTATATATATGTTGAATTCCCCCTGTATATCCACAAAAAATATATAAACTGTTTTTTGTAGAATTTTAACATTTAAATTTGCATACAACAGTATTTATCGAAATGATTTCAAATGTAATTAATTTTTGCAGCCATAAAAGTTGAAAAAAGAAAAAGCTGAGAACATACAAATGAAGATTAACTGATGAGCAGGAAAAACAAGAGCTTCAAAACATGAATGCTGTACTCTTTTACTTGTGGGGCCATCTATTGCTTTTTTTGTTGATTAACTCCACAAATATGTATTACTTAAAGAATATTTTGCTTATTATATAATAAGCAATTGTGCAAAAATATAAATTTATATTGTGCAAAAATATTTTGATACCAAAAATGAACTCAAAAGTTCATATAATTGTAATTTTACTACCGATACTGAAACTCTCTGGTATTAATTAAAAATTAAAATTTAAATACAAAACTCATAGCAGTAGAATTTTAAATTTGAAATAGTCTTTTAATTCTGTTCAAATATTCAGTGACACATTATTAGATAGTTTCCAGGAAATTATGAACAACAAGTATGATTATAAAATTATATGCATGATTTAATTCTTCAAACAAGGAGAATGCACTATATATATATATATATATATATATATATATATATTTATACATATTATATGTTGTATTAGTTAAATTTAGTTGAATTAAAAAAAGACCGACTATCAGATGAAACGAGGCATACACTTTTACTCAAAGTTGTATCGTAGAAATATCCTATAAGATGACCCCCAAACTATCAATGGTCCATGACTTTAGTTTAGCTCAACTAGGGGGGGGGGGGAGTTGCAGCCTCGGAATTAAAATAACTAATCCGGGGACTTAATGTTTGATAGAATTATATTTTAAAAAATTTGTCTCATCAAAATTTACTAAGAATTTAATTTCAAGAAATTTATATAGAGAGCTTCCACTTCCGAAACAAGACATTGAGCTAAGTCAATGCTTCTTCCTAGTAATAAAGAAAATGTGACTCATTTGTTTGATGCTTATAATAAATTTTGATTTTTCTTTTCTGAATCATCAATCATAAGTCATTTTTCTTAATTATGTTAAGTCAATATAAAAAGGTGTTTTTAGATATATATATATATATATATCTCGTTTTTATATATATCAAGATATAACTTTAAGAATATTAGTTTTTTTTTATTATAAGTATATTCTTGCACAAGCTATTTAAGTACCGAAAAGACATTACTTCATTCTAAATATTTAAAATTTATGAATAAACTCAGTTATAGGTGATTTATTTCAATGTTTTCTCCTTTTTTTTTAACCCACAGCGACATAAAGTTAGTAATATTATTTTGTTATCATTATAAATATATTTTCAAATTAGATTGCATGTATTTATAATTAAATGTTGTTGAAAAATATTTCGAAAAGTTATTTTGTGAGAAATCTAAGAGACAGACAAATATGCAATATATTTAATATTATTATTTTTATTTTGAAGTCTGTTTTTTTTTCAAAATATTTTTACTAGAGTTTGTTTTAGAGTTTATAAAAAATATTTAGCGTCAAAAGTTTAATTTTTTAAAGTATTTTTTCTGTTGTAGTTGTATTAGTAGAAAAATATTTCAGATTAAAATTTACGTAAATCCATTGTATCATTTGTACCTGCTGTGTACAGGTACATAAGAGTTTGTCGGGAGAAAAAGTTCAGTTCAGACTTCATAATTTCAATTTTGAAAAATTTAATTCCTTAGAATGTCTTACTACGCAGGTATCATTTCCAAATATCTTACACATAAAAAAAGAGTATTTCAAAGAAAATATAATAGGGACTTTTTATTCTAGTTTGAGTTTACAATAAGATTTTGAAAAGTCTCAAACATATCAATCATTAATTCAAATGGGTCAATTTTTTTATTAATTAAAAATGTACTATTGTTATTAAATTCATTATGCACTATTTTTCTTTGCTTTTTATGATGAATTAAGTTTTATTTTGACTCAATAAATAATATTAAACCAGTTTTTCAATTATGCGTTCTGTTTTGTTACATAATTTCAATTAAGCTAATGGGTAAGTATTTTTCATAAAGAGATCAGTCGTAATCCCGGGACCAATCCCGGTCTTAGGACTGAGGCAATGTAATCCCAAAATCCCAGGTCTGAAAATATGTCCCGGGATTGCAAGCACTAAGCTCAACTATCTAACTTAACTATCAGGAAAAAATATTATTTTGCACTATTACAAAATGCAAACTTACAGTGATATAGAGTAGAACGATTTGTTACAAAATACTGAAGAGTCGAATCGTAATTTGACTTGATGAGTATAAACTGCCAGGTGAGCTTCTAAAGAAAGAAATTGAGGATACACCTTTGATACTATTTACCTCAGATGATGAATGGGAGAATTCCACGGGATTCGAAACATTGGTAAGACGATTAGGGTTTATAACTA